CAAATGCGAAGCACGCAGTCACAGGGGAAGTTACACACAACACTGGCATTCAATTATGGCAACTTTTTCTTTTTCCCATCTTTTTTTTTTTGCCTGCCTTCGCTTTACAATGCGCACAATTTACTTGGCACTTGGTGCGGGTGTAATTTATTTTAATTAAAAAATTTGAATTTCCCTGATGCGGGGAAGTTGCAAATTTAATTCGGACTTTCTATGCATTGTTTTTTTACTTTTTATATGATGATGAGCGCACATATTTCATCACCAATTAGAGAAATCTGGCTTTATGCTCTCAAAATCCATTAGGCTTAAGGAAAGTTTCGATTTTATATGTGCATACTAACATTTTTTTTACCATGAAATGTGCAAAAAAAAGGAAATTCCATGTAGAATCGAACTTTATTTAAAGCCTCAAAATCCATTTGGCTTAGATTTTTAGTATTTGCCAATTTGGCATATTTTGTTTAAAAGGATAAGAGCATGAAAACAGCATTGAAAATGTATTTCCTGTGTAAATTGGGGCTTAAATAAAATAAATAAGAACTCACCGATATCGCCAAAAGTTGGTCATGGATTGCACTTCTTTCCGCTCGGCGGTGTCGAATTTTCCTCCCACTCCTTCTTTGGTCAGTCGATCGAGGACCGTGTGCCGCAGGACAAAGTCCACAACAGCCTTCTTCATGGCGAAAACATAGTCCGACCGGACCTCGGCAATGTTCTCATTGAGGGCGGTCTGCCATTTGTAGAGCAGCGGGGGCACAAGATCTGTTATTCTGTAATTTTAATCGGTATTATAAAATCTTATAACAAAAGAGGTATCTAGTTAACAGATATTATAAAACTGTACAGAGTATTATAAAGGAATTTTCCTTCCACCCACCTCTTGAGGATCTTCTTACTCAATGGAGACACGTGAATCGTGTCGATTCCATGCTTAATGTAATAGTAATATCGCAGGATCTCGCGCTCCTCCTGGTCGGGAAAGGGCACGGCACACTGGGCGGCCAGCTCCGGATCCTGATCGTCGTCCATGTGCAGTATGAGCTCCACCAGCTTGCGCCGGAAGTGCTCCCTCTCCAGACGCATGGTCATGTAGTTGGCCTTGGCCACGGCGCTTTCGCGCTTCTTGCGCTTCTTTTGCTGCTTTTTGGCGCAAAGGATGCTGTCGGGCAGGTCGGACTGCATCTTGCCATCCAGCAGCGAACTGGCGCACTCCGGCATGTTCAGTTCGTACCACAGGCGACGCGACTTGTACTCCGGATTGGCCTTCGATTGCAGGATACTCTGCAGGACATCCGGCTTGGGGCGGGTGTACAGCATCTTCGACTTCTCGCATAGTCGGCGGGCCCCGCAAACCGACGTGAAGCTGGGGATGCTGATCTCCCGGTTCGGATTCTGTCTGCCCTGCATGGTGTAGCCTAAAAACAGAATTTAGTTGATATTATAATATTATAAACCAATGTTATAAGGGCCATCTATTTTTTGATGGTAGTCAAATTTCCTTCTGCATATCTTCCTAAATAACAAAATATATATAATAAAATATATAATTTTCAAAAACTAACTAATATATAATGAAAGAAGAAATAGTTGAACAAATTTCGAATGGAATTTTTTTTTTAAATTTTTTATTTCTATGCATTTTTCCAAACTATTTTATATTATTAAGTTATTTCGTCCACATTCAGTATTTTGATTTTAAGGTGAAACAGTTTTTCTAATACTTGAAATAAAAAGTTGTTGCGTAAGCTTGTCGCGGTTAAAACTAATATACAAAAAATCAAATATAAATTTTTGAAAAGATTCAAGCCGAAACGGTTATAACCGGTAATGCGGTTGTTGTCTCCGCTCGCTATCGTGTACCAACCGATAACTGCGCAACTATCGATAGCAAGCGAACAGCTGTTCGTCACACGCGCCTCGCCGGCTTTTTTGCCATCCCTAACGCTCGAATTGTGCAACCCGGAAAATTGTCAAAATTTTCAGAGTTTCCCATTAAATTACACACTCCGGACACACAAGCAAGGAAAACTATACTGCACCACTTACCAGTCGTTCACCTATCGAGGCGAAACACACGGTTTGGATTAATTCGCGCCGCAACGCGATTAATTAAACTGACTCGATCCGAACATACGAAGGAGTTGAAAACAAATGCAAATCACACACAGGGTTTTCCGTTGTTTAGAATGAATTGATTTTCCTGGCAACTACATAACGACAGCTCGGAAAAGTGAAAAACAAACAAGCCGGAGAGTTGCCCTTAGCAGCAGGCAAAGAGCAACAAGTCCACACGGACACACATCACATCACCCCCTAGAAACATCAGTTTAGTTTTCACTTCGGTTGGCACAAAATATGTTGCTTCAAAAGATTTTCACCCGCGCTTTGCACTCCACCCGGCAGCTTTACGCCGGAGCCGCTGGCACCGGAGGTCTGGAAAAGAGTGCTCTGGCGGCCCTGAGGAAGAAGACCGGCTACACCTTCGCCAATTGCAAGAAGGCCCTGGAAAAGCACAACAACGATGTCGGATTGGTGGGTATTTGCATTATACCTTGATTATAAAGATGCGGCAGCCACATTACTTATAAAGTCTTTAATCTGGAAAGATCCTCGGTGTCGAATATATAATACACAGCTTTATTGGGACGCCAACACATATTCCTTAATAATTATCATAATATATTATAATATAACATAATTGTATCGACTTAAATCAGTTCACCATCTAATAGTTAGGAAACCTTAGTTGATAAACCTTGTAAAGCCCCACAGCTCCTCAAGCAGTTGCTGCTGTATCGTTAAAAAACCCCTTTATAGTCACTCCAACTTATTTGCTCATTGTACTATCAATATTTTCTTCATATTTACACATATTATCCCAAAAAAGTATTGTAAACGTGGCAGTTGCAAGTTTATATCTTCTACATGCAGCCGCTGCATCGTTTACAACATCCTCTATTGCCTTAACTACGTAATTTATCTTATTATTTTCTTAAATTTGACAGGCTGAAAAGTGGCTGCATGAACAGGCCCAGACGCTCGGCTGGTCAAAAGCCACCAAAGTCGCCGATCGAGCCACCGCCCAGGGTCTGATTGGAGTCCTCATTCGCGGCAACCGTGGAGCCATGGTCGAACTCAACTGCGAGACGGATTTCGTGGCCAGGAACGACACCTTCAAGCGGTTCGTGGATCACGTTGCGTGCATGTGTCTGCACTACACGGACTTGACGGACTTCGATGGAGATCTGTGGAAGGTGAGGAAAGAGATTAATATATGTAATGCACATATGTATCTCAGTAGTATTGCAAGGTTTCTTATCTTAATGCATTTATATAAGGAACGTTCAAATAGTATGTCCAATGAGTTATTTTGTAATTTTAATCAACACTAAACAATTACTTTTAAAAAATAGGTATTCTCTTCATTATTTGAAGTACAAAAGGGGTTACAAAGACAATAGTATTGTAAGGATTCTTATTTTAATGCATTTATTCTTCTAGGGAAAGTAAAATAGGCTGTCCAATACATTTTTTTAATTTAGTTATAAAAAAAAGTATTCATTACACCATTTAAAGAACAGAAGCGATTACAAATACTCTTTAAAATTTAAGCTCCGCAACATGGTTCAGAACCGGTTTGCAACCCTTAGAGCTCTTACTTGCTGATGTACTAATAAACATATCCTTTCCAGCTTGGCTTCGATGCGGACGCCCTAAGGAACTTGCGAACGGAGGAGGGTCGCACACTGGGCGACCACCTGGCCTTGTTGATCGGCGCCCTCGGCGAGAACGCCACCATCCGGCGTGCCCTGTGCTTTAAGGTCAACAACGATCTGAAACTGGTTGGCTACGCTCACCCAGCACCCACCAACGTGGGCACCACTGAAGGCATCACCCAGGTGGGCAAATACGGAGCTATCGTGGCCTACCGATCGACCCACAAGTTGCTGGACTTTGAGTTCCACAAGAGCATCTGCCAGCAGATCGTGGGCATGAAGCCGTCCAAGATCGGGGAGTACGACAAGGACAAGCCGGCGGAGAACAAGGACGATGAGACGTGCCTGATCCACCAGGAATATCTGCTGGATGCGGATAAGACGGTGGGCGAGGCATTGCAGGAACACAACTGCGAGGTCGTGGACTACCATCGCTTCGAGTGCGGAGAGCAGACGGAACGCAGCCTGGAGGCGATCATTCGCTCCCAGCACCAGAGCAGCAATTAACTAGCCCCTAAGCAGACTCTAGATCACTAAATTATTATATGCACCAGCCGAAGATTGTTAAACCTTAAATTCTGGACAGTTCTGGTCAAAATTTGCATGTGAAACAAGTAAACCAAACGCGACGATCAGATCTGCCTGTGTTATTTGAATACTCCATGAGTCATGGCAAAAAATTGGGGTAACCGCCGAGGGGAATGCGACGGCTATTCGCTGCGTGCGCCTGCGCAGAACGGGAAGCACGCTTGAGCGGCTTTGGAAACGGTGGACTCTTGGGGGGAAAAGCGGGCGAATGGACAGCGCCAGCAGAATGTACTGTTTATGAACGTGTTTTGTTCTGTAGCCGGTAATTACCCGCTCGTCATGCGATAGCCCAAAAGAAAGAATGAAAGAAAGGTTCTTGTGCGGGGCAAAGGCAAAACAGGCACCAAAACGACAGGTGAAGGTACTCGGTGCTCCTCTTTCTGCATTACCACAGGTTTATTGAGCTTGGTTTAACGAGCCACGTGCATGGGGCTCAGGCTATGAAATTTGAGTAAAATGAGGAAACAAATTTCAAACGTTTAGAAGGGGATCATATTTCATAAGACAGGATGAATTGGTTACCTTTAAGGAAAGATTTTAGAGAAATACTTTTCCAACCCTAAATAAGTTTTCAGCACTAGGCTGTCAATAATAAAGTATAATCTAAGTAGGCCTGTCAAATCAATGTCAAATGGTCGACTATCAAAACCAAAAACCCAAAACCCGTCATTGTGTGAAAATTATTTGCCCAGCATGGACTACCTGGATATTGAATCCTTCCGTTCAAGGTACAGCGACATAACCGTGACGGCCGTGCCCACTCGCTCCCAGGAGGAGGAGGAGCAGCAGCCGATGGCCATGGACCCGGAGATAGCAGCCAAGCGAAATGAGCCGCGGGTAGAGATCACACGGGTTAACGGAGGTGCTCCTTCGGAACTCAGCTCCACGTCGAATCTAGCGATGCTGCAGCGCAACAGGCAGCAACAAAACGCCACTGCATTTGCCTACGCCACTGAATACAAGGAGGTGATGGCCAAACTGGAGTACACCAAGTACATGCAGAACCAGCTCCAGCTGATGTCAATGGCGAATGGAGGAGGGAATGCTGGTGGAGCTGGTATTGATGGTCTTTATGGGATGATGCCAACATCTATAAGTAAGAATATGAAACAAAATAAAGATAAACTCGATTAGAGGATTATTAACTTTGAAAATTGATAAAAATGATATCCAGTAAGGTTATCTTATATAGATATGTCTTAAATCCACCACATTTTCTGAGTATTACCTCCAAATCCTTTTCAGGTCTGGATGCCAATGCCAACATAGAGGATAAGTACTCTGATTTACTGAATACCCTGGCCGAGATGCGTTCCGAATTGGCGCCAACGATTATGGGATTGCGGGCGCCCAAGGACCGCCTTCATCGGGACATAGCCCAAGCCAGGTATACGGTGAGGGAGTGCCTCCTGCTCCTGGAGAAGGATTGCCAGCAGGAGAGCGAAGGTAGCCCCACCGGTGAGTGACGTCACTCGGGGTTATCCATCTCTGCATTGTTAACGACACCTCTAACCGAGTGATAATAAAGAACGAGAACAACAGAGGCCAAAAGAGTTCTGGGAACCCTGCGTGTTTATGGGTACGACTATGATGGTGGGGCGATGGGTTTTGAATAGCCAAATACTATGACTATGTGATGGTGATGTCTGCAGCGTAGTGGCCGGCATTTTGACAGTAGGGAGCAGTAGAGCGCGAAGCTTGTCCACTAGAAAATTGGTTCGATGCGCTGATACCCTGTAAATACAAATACATAAGTATTAAAATCTTACATTTATATTTACTTCTAATTTATTAATATTCTAAATTTAATAAATTTTTTTACATTATTATGTGTTTACTTTATGTAATTGATGCACATAGGAAAAAAACGTACATATTTACGTTAATAATTTAAATTTAGTAATTAATTTTAAAATATTCTTTAAATAAAATAATAAAAATATGTAATGTATTTTACTTTTCAGTAATGAAACACAGAAAAATAGATATAATAAAAATTAAATTCTTTGATGTACTTAATGTTGTTATCAAGAATATCAAAATCTATCTGTTTACATTGATGCACATAGGAATCTTACGTTGGAATGGGAGATTTGCGATTTCTGTGGCACCTCTGAGTATCTTAAAAATGTAAAACTCACCAAGGAAAAACTTATGGCTAACAAGTTTAAAGTTATATATACAAAACATATTTTTAACCATTTTTTTTTTTGTACTTTTAGTTATTTTTCACATGCATGTTGCACGACAACTATCATTGCACAATGTATGGATGTACATATGTATGTACAATGTACATTTTTGAAGTATGTACATACACACATACCTGGCACAAAGCGACGCACTTTTCACATCTTGAATTCCCGGCTAATGCATTGCAATTGCCCAGCTTTTTGCTTAATTGGCTAGCGTTCAAACACCTTGTAGTTGGTAAATAATAGTTTTCGCTGTCCAATGGTCGAATATACCCAAAAAAAAGTTGGCCATGGTCAAAGTGGAACTTGAAAGGGTCACATTCACCGACGTCGACGTCGGCAGAGGAACATACCTATGTATGTAGCAAGTTCACATACAAACATACATAAGTATGTACATTTGGACGTGCGATCGCCCCGCTTCAATTGAAGTTTTTCACGTTCAGTCGTAAGCCGACTTTTCACGGGTTAAGTTTAGCATTTAGAGCGACAGATCAGCGACCGGATCGCACGAATATATCCTTTCTTCCACTTCCGCTCGGCGTTAATTCGGGTTAATTTGTTTTGAAAGTGCGCTAAAAAAAAATAAGGCAGTGCCAAAAACGCGTTATCACTTCTGGTGTAGCTCTCTTTTTCTCACACTAACGGTAAACTGCGCGAAGAGGCGCGCGAAAGCAAATTGCAAAAAAGGCAGCCAAATAAAGCGAATGCCACAAAGGTGACAGCAATAAACACAACAAATAGTCCGCAAAGTGCGAAAAAGTTAATTAAATAGTTTAATTTTGGACTTGCAACTGCATGCCACTAAGCGCGCACACAAATAAATAGAGAAAAAATACATTTGCATTGCAGCAGCCGCAAATTGGACCACAAAATGCCGCCATTTAATTTCATCAAACAGGTGAGTGCAAATTAATTAAGTGTTTCTACACGTTTTATGGCGCGAAGTAATTAATTGGGCGTTTAGGCGGTAAGTGGATGCAGAAATGCAAGCTTTCGATTACAGATGCATTCGCAATCGATGCAGACATTTCCTAATCGATAACTACATATGTTACATTGCGAACATATGTATGTATGTACATCACTATAAATTGTTTAAGAATGGTTAAAAATCAACGCTTACATGATCTTTGATATCTCATCCAAATTTACAAAGGTCGTATCCCAATAAGGCTCAATATTACATCTCTTTATTTAGTTAATCTCTGGTAAAAATACCATTACATCTTTTAAAGTCAACATTTTAATCAAATAATTATTTTTTTTTAACTAAACCCTCTTGATTTCTATTTACAATATAGACTACATATGTACATTACTTTTGTCTGAAGGTTTCTTTTAAAGTATGTTCCTTGGGATTGACTTTACATCTCCTCATTTACTTATTCTCTGGTTAAAAGACCATTACATCTATTAATAAAATATTTCTTAGGTTAGACAAAATTTTACCGAGATACACATGTTAAGTTATAAATGTTTGATATATGTGGTTCAAAATTGAACAGGAAAACCATTCGTAAGATGATATTATCATATCAACATTTTACTTTGATATGAAATAATGTATTATCAAAGTTATCAAGGTAATTTTGCTGTCGACTTCTTTTCTCTGATAGAAAAACCATACTCTCGACCTTGCATCTGGAAATCAATTAATTGAAATATCAATCCTGTTCCAAGAATAACCAATGAGTTATGACAAACAAATGAATCAGAGCACCCAAAGATAGCAGAGTTCCCGTTCCACACAATCTAACATTATGGAGGCTCCAATTTACCATATCTGTGGAAGACAAGCGGCAGACAAGAGACGTGTCTAATTGGCAAATTCAAAACAAAGAAAATATAATACGGGAAATGTAAACCAATTTGAATGGATTCGGACCAGAGCTAATGAAATGCACAACGAAAATAGATTTATCTGATTCAGGCGCCTAGCTGGAGCGCCCCAAGAAGTGGTGACCCAAAAGAGATTTAGCTTAATTAAGCGGGCTTCTGGAGAGGCTTGAAGATAGCTTCCGGTGATTAAATGTCAGAAACAAGATCTTGGGAGAACTACGCATAAACACGAATCTTGTGAAGCCAAAGAATCCATAAAGGTGGGAACAATTTCTACGCAACTCTAGGTCCAACCCATCCGCAGCTTTCTTTATGTTTTTATGGCTTTTCCCCCACTAATTTTGTGGGATCTTGGACTTGGGCAAATGCAAATGGGTCAATGGACAGCGTTTCTAAGGCTATGTGTATTATTATGGCCGACTATCTTTTAAGGGCCTGCCTAATGAATATCCAAGCTGAAGCTTTTCCCACTCGTGTAATAATTAAGACGAATGACCCCTTAGTTAGAAAGTTATTGCAGCACATCTGCGTGTAGTCCAAGTTTTTTTTTTATAGAGATTATCTCAACGCAGCTGAACCCGAACCGAATCTGTTTATATGTATTTGCATTATTCAGTTTTCTGTTTTTAGTATTTAACGCCGGGTTAATTGCATGTTAAGTAACAGTTAAATAACCGTTAGGCGGCGTTTGTTTTTTTTATGGCTCCCAAATGCTCAGCTTCCATCGCAATTGTTGTCCAACTTTTCACTACCTCCGATTTCAATGAAGAAATTATTTTGAACTCTTCGTCGTCTTAAATTCACCCACACTTTGGCTTTTGGTTTTTCAGTTTTTTGGCGTGGGAAGCAGACAATACCGAATTGTTATTACGAGTAGAAAATAAATAAAAAAAAACGGGGAGAAAAACCACAGCAAAACTGGAAAATAACATCTGCGGTAGCAACTTCGTGAAATGCGCAGCGAATCAATTGTACCAGTTGAAAATCCAATCCGATTTTCAATCCAAAGATCGAACGCCTTTCAAACCGATTATGATTTGTGGTCTCCAGTTTGGTTCCCGCCTATCGAAGCTAATTAACCATTTGTTAATGCTAAATCAAAAGCACTGCCAGCCAAAACACCTGTTATTGTTATTGATATTCAGCTTTTACCAATCGAGCTGCCGTCATGTTTTGGCCTCATAAAAGGCTATAGATGAGGAAAATTCCATTAAAAGAGCGAAGACGAAATGATCTTTCTCAGGAATTTAAAAGGAGAAAGATTTCTCATTGACCAATTTAAATAAGGTGTTTGATTTCCCTTTCATTATCACTTAATTGTATTAAGATCTTAAAGATTTGATTAATTTAAGGTTTGATCGAACAATTTTCTTATAATAACTTAAGCTTTGTTCATGCTACAAATGTTTGAATGTCATTAAATGGTGTTAGTGTTACTTAAATTTGTGAGTGTTCTTTTATAATCACTTAATACAATATTTCTTAATATGAAAATGTTAGCTCTTACCGAAAGTTTTTCTAAGATGTTGCTAGAACCATAAAACTATTAGTTCAAGACATAGGATGTTGTAACCTTTATAGCTACGACTCTTAACTGTTTAACGGTTAACAAACCTGTTTTTTTAAGCGAAATTTGTGAAAAATGGAAACAAATTTAATAGTTTGTTTATGATTTGGAACTGTCTTGTGGCAAACTCAACTTAATGAAGTGTTTGGTTTGATCACCATTGTGAAATACAGTAACCCATTTCTTATAACACCTTTACGCCTTGCAAACTTGGCTATAAATCGATCATGGCCCAAGCTCTCAGAAGAGCAGTGGTTTCCCATTGAGAGGAGTCAGCTGGTGGTTTGGTCTGGATCTGGATCTGGAGTTTCATCTGGATCGGTGGGCAATTAACGTGGGCTGTTTTTCGCCCGAAGATGAAGAAGCTACCAGTGTAGCATGTTTGCCATTCCTTGGCCATCTTCAGTTGTGCCTAATGAAAAGCCTGGAAAAGAGCAAAGATCCATTGGCACAGGAAAACTAAAACAATATAAGAAAAAAAAGAGTCCAAAGCGGTACATTGCCGGCCTGTTTCCCGTTGGCAGTTGCGGAAAATGAAAATGCCACAAGTCGATGTTGCATTATTGTGGGCTTATCAGACTTCAGACTTTTCAGACGCTTTTCCAGACTTTACGTAAATGTCGCGTGTGTTGGCCACAAAATGGCCTTAATGTGTTTGGCTTTTTCGTACCGCAACAAAAGGCAAACAATCAAATTGTTTGCCGACTTTTGGCTAAAAAGGAAAAGTCAATTGGCCTAGTCGTTTGTCTTTTTGCTGGTTGACGTGTGTAATTATCATAAATTGTAAATTGCATTTTTCATCATGCTAAAAGGCGCACATTTTCCACTGAATGGCAAAAAAAATGCTTTGCATTTCGCATCT